AAGTTCTTCAACTGCAACAAGATCAATCACTATGCACCTGAGTGTAGGTTCTCAAAGAAGGTTGTGGAGAAAACTAACTTTGCAGAAGAAAAATGTGGAGAATAAGAAACTTTGTTACTAGCATGCCAAAACCAATTTGAAGAGAAAAGAAACAAGTGGTACCTCGACACCGACGCAAGAAACCACATGTGTGGCAATCAAAACATGTTTATAGAGATCAATGAGGCTACAACTGGCAATGTCTCATTTGGAAATGACTCGAAGATACTGGTCAAAGGCAAAAGTAAAATTCTCATATGCTTAAAGAATGGGATTCATCAATTCATATCCAATGTCTACTATGTTCCTAACATAAAGAATAATATTTTGAGCTTGAGACAATTATTAGAAAAAGTCTATGACATCCACTTGAAAGAACATAGTATTTTCTTAAGAGATTGTGGGCATAACTTGATTGCTAAGGTGCATATTTCAAAGAATAGAATGTTCCTCTTGAACATTCAAAAATATGTGGCAAAGTGTCTCAAGGCTTGCTATACCGACTCTTCATGGCTATGGCATCTACAATTTGGACACCTCAACTTCGGTAGTCTAGAATGTTTATCAAAGAAGGAGATGGTGAGAGGCTTGCCTAGTATAAACCACCCATAACAACTATGTAAAGGATGTCTAATTGGGAAGCAATTCCGAAAAATCCTTCCAAAGGAATCAACGTTAAGAGCGACAAAATCTCTAGAGCTTATACACACCGATGTCTGTGGACCAATCAATCCAAACTCTTTTGGTAAGAATAAATACTTTCTCCTCTTTATTAATGATTATTCTAGAAAAATATGGGTTTATTTCTTAAAGGAGAATTCAGAAGTGTTTGAAAACTTTAAGAAGTTCAAAGCCCTTGTGGAGAAAGAAAATGGTCTTTCCATTAAGGCCATGAGACCTGACTGAGGAGGAGAGTTTACTTCAAATGAGTTCAACAAATATTATGAAGACCATGGAATCTGCCGCCCACTAACAATGCCAAGATCGCCACAACAAAATGGAGTAGCAAAGAGAAAGAATTGGACCATACTTAATATGATTCGAAACATGCTTAAGAGAAAGAAGATGTCGAAAGAGTTTTGGGCCGAATCAGTGGCATGTGCGGTTTACCTGACAAACCGTTCCTCAACAAGAAGTGTGCATGAGAAGACACCATAAGAAGCATGGAGTGGAAATACGCCAGGGATCTCTCACCTCAAAGCGTTTGGAAGCATTTCCTGTACCAAGTTCCAGATGAAAGGAGAACAAAGCTCGATGATAAAAGTGAGAAGTATGGATTCGTGGTTTACGACTCAAGCTCCAAAGGGTACAAGCTCTATAATCCAAATAGTGGAAAAACTGTCATAAGTCGTGATGTAGAGTTCGAAGAAGAAGATTGTTGGGATTGGAATGTTCAAGAAGACATATAATATTTTCTTCCTTACTTTGAAGAAGAAGAAAATGAAATGGAACAACCAATGATAGAGGAGCATATTACACCACCTTCCTCACCGACACCAAGGTTGGATGAAACAAGCTCAAGTGAGAGGACATCACGACTAAGAAGCATTGATGAACTTTTTGAGGTAACCGAAAACCAAAATGACATTAATCTCTTTTGTCTTTTTGGTGATTGCGAGCCTCTAAGCTATCAAGAAGCTGTTGAAAACATAAAGTGGAGAGACACCATAAACAAATAAATCAAGTCAATCACCAAGAATGATACATGGAAACTTACTACACTTTTGCGAGGACACAAAGAAATCAAAATAAGATGGGTGTACAAGGTGAAGTTGAAGTATGTGATGTCTCGAGATCAAACTGCCGACATTTTCACCAAGCCACTCAAGTTAGAAACTTTCGTGAAGATAAGGAGTATCTTAGAGTCGCAAATCAAGTTTAAGGGAGGATGTTGAAATATTAAACTTGATTTGGGCCTAATCTTATTATTTGTGTTTTAGATTTTTAGGCTTAGGTAGTTTTAATCAATGTTTCTAGAAAACTCTTGTAATATTTGGAGTGTCTAGATATTTCTTAGGGTTGTAATATTTTCTAGAATGCTCTTGGAATTCCTAGAGTTGAGAACTCTATAGAATTAGTGTGTATAAAGTTCTCCTTAGAGTACTATAAATAGAGATGTAATTCTACATTTTTTCATCAAGCAACAATTCAAAGTTCTCTCTTTCATAAAAAATTCTCCTACCTATCAAGTTTCTCTTTAAGCCTCTAATATTCCCACACACTTTCCCTAAACAAAAAAGACTTTATTTCCAACGATAAGAAGGAACTATGGACAAGCCGACTCATGAGTAAGATGAGGTTAATTAGTAACTCATTAACTAGTATTCCTTAAATGAAGTATAAACCCCATGTCTCAGGTGGCAACCACACGAATTAACAAGTGAATGTAGAGAAAGAAATTATGATGCTCTGCTGTTGGACTTCATAATGTGTATGAGAATGTAACGACTTCAAATAAGAATTATTGGATGGCTAAACCAAGTCAACCCGTCTATTAACATTAATCTTATCTTTTGGGAACTTCATACAACTAGAAGTTATCCTATGGATAGAAAATTGCATGAAGGTTAAAAAAGGTGATGTTAACAAAGGATAAAAAATGTGACTTCACAGCATGGAAGGGACGAGTAAAGATGCATGTAAAAGATATGCATGCTAATATACATCATCCCAAACACAAACTAATAGGCATAACTAGGACCTTATAGAGGGATAATGGGGCACTAATGGGTCTGATGCTATACTTAACAAATTCGATGTGGCCAAATTTGTGGTATGGGGGACACATGACTGGCATGTATACGACCTTTCATTTGAAAAATCATTAGAAGATCTGCTAACTAGAGAATTATATGCATAAGCAAGTCTTTTGATATTTTGAGTTATTGAAAGTTTATTATTGTTTCAGTCTGGCCCAATGGCTAGACACAACCCAATCCACTTCTGCTCCCAGAACGACGCAGATGCCTAAGTCCAACCTCTTTGGTGGAGAGTTTACCTTTCTGCCCCTCCAATAGGGGAGGCTGAACAATTTACCCTTGGTCACAACACCTCTCCCCGTCAGTCTCTGCCCGTCACGCGCGGTTCCACCATCCAGAAACAGTCAAGACGCTTGTGCCCGTAACTATACCTCTGTCCGTCCTAACGATTATTTCTGGCAGTTACCTATTCTTCGGGAGACAGTTATCTCGCCTCGAAAATAGGGACCAATGGCCAAGTGCTGAAGGCATTATAAAAACCCTATCATTTGAGAGGGCCAAATATCCAATTTCTCACCTTGAAACACACATATTCTATATTTGCTCATTCTCTTGCTCGTTTTCTTACTTTAGCATCAAAGTACCTTACAGATACACCCCCTCCTCCTCTTTCACACTCAGCATCACAGACGTTTGTCATTGGCCAATCTCAGATTCTGATCGTTCGGTAAGATCAATTATTAAAATTTTCATATGCTTAAATCATTATTTAGTAATATTTTTATCATAACTTAAATATATTATTCTAGATTCATCATTCTTTATATAAAATGCGAGTCTTCCACCTTTATAATTTGTTTTCCCTATTAGATATACTTTCTGCAACAATTAAGCTTACTTTTCTTTTGATAGATTAGTATTTTGATTATAAATGATAACCAATATTGAAATTAATTTTTTTTTTTAATATTTCATCATTGTCCTCTAGGAAATATATTTTAGATTAATAATTTAATTAATTAATTATAGATTGATATAATCAATTATTAGCCAATTATTATTAAATTATATTATGGTAAATTATCCCTAATCACTAATTATTAATGAATTTATTTGATTGATCTTTATATCTAAATGATACCTCATGAGTTTGACCATTAAATTAAACTCAATAAAAGGTGTTTTTCCCTCGTCCATTTATTTATTTAAGTGTTAGTCCAATTAAACGATTAACCTATCCTAAAAAAGTTATAATGAAGGTAGTTCATCCTGTCATTATTTGTTCTATCAATATCAATCTCAAATTATATATGTCACTCATAATTATTTTTTATTATAGGATGTTATAATTTGTGTCTACCATTCAGTAAAAATATTTGTTAAATGACAAGAAAGTTTTATTAAAACTTCAATTTTAAAACTTATTATTTCTAATTTAATTAATTATATATAAATAATTAATCTATCCCATTTTAAGTCTTTTCTTTTTTATTTTAAAATTTTTTAAAATAATACCTAACAATATTAATTTTAATGATAAAATAAATTTCATTTTTCAAAATATTCTTATTAATATTAATTATAGGATATTTTCATGAGTTGTAATAAAAATATATTGATTAAAATATTAATAAATTGTACATTAATATTCTAAATATGCACATAATTTGAGGCATCAAAATAATACTCTCTTTGATTTTATTTATAAGAAAAAATTTTGTTTTAGATTCATTGAATAAATAATACATTTTTAGACAAAATATAAATCAAATACATTAGTTATTGAATAAATTTAATTTTTTTTTATAAATAGGAGTAATATAAAGTAGACACTGTAGTATTTATATTTTATTCTAATCCATTTATTTAAACTATTTTATTTATTTTGTTCTATATCTAAACAATTGTATATATAAAATTTTCTTTTTTATTTTATTTTATAAAAGAAGAAATTAAAAAAAAAAAAGAGAGAAATTGAAAAATAAAATAAATAACAGACATGTAGTACTCGTTTGCTCACTAGTATTTAATATTGTAAATAAGATTAGAGTGCAACTCATATAAAAACTTAAATAATTTTGCATTATATGAAAGAAAGAAAACAACACATGCTTTATTTATTGGAAATATGAGAATGGAACCCTCTTTTAATATTTTAGCAGCAGATTCTTATTTTCACTATTGCAAAAAAAATAAAATAAAAAAGTGAGAGTCCAAATACTCTGCATTATTATGACATATAGTGCATCACATAATAAAACATCAAACTCCAGCAACTTGTTCAAGCACTCCCTTTTCGGTGCGAGTTGTGTAATGAAAATCTATGAACTCTTCATATTTGAATGGTTTGTAACGAAGAGGGTGATCTTGATCTACCAACTCAGAAGGCACCTTAATAAGTGTTTCTTGCTTTGGCACAGCAAAGAGAATGAAAGCCAATCTCTCTTTGTCTCCTCTTGTCACCACTCTGTGCGTTGGTGCTTGGAGTCTCCCATTGCTCCATGCCTGTGTATTAATCATTATGCAATGGAAAATATAAAAATGAATATTCAAAATCATTATGCCTGTATATTACCTTCAACATGTCACCAACAAGCACAATGAAACCATTTGGAGGAATGTTGACATTAACCCAGTTGCCCGATTTTGGTAAAACCTGCAAACCTTGTACTTCGTTGTGGCATATTAGGGCTAAGGTGCCTTTGTCAGTGTGAGGCACCAAAGCAATTTCAGAATCCTTGTTTTCTTCAGGAAGTTGGTACCTTGTCATTCTTGAATCATTGTGGCTATTCAACTCTTCAACTTCTGAAATGTATTTTTCTGGAAGACCAAAGCCCTCCACAACCATCTTCAAGATAAGCCTGCTTAGTTCTCTTGTTTTTGAGGTCAAAGAACTCAGTGTCTCACTGCAAATATTTAATTTATTATGCCTCATTGTATTACCAAATAATAAAAAATTATAAAAATTATAAAATAAAATAACTCATAACCTGAATGATGGATTTCCTTCCGGCCACATGAGATCAGTGAAATTTTGAGCTGTATTTGGCTTAAGAGCATCGTCAATTCCAAAGCTTTGACAATGAGGAATAACATGACTCTTGGCAGTGTAGCCTCTATATGCTCTTGAGCTAGAGAATTTCAACTTTGTCTCCTCAGGTAGTTCAAACAAAGATTTCATACCTGTGAACATTTTTTCACGTAATTCATTCGGTATTTCATCGCACCTTAAAAGAAAAGCACCATGACTCTCAAATGCTTCTCGCACTTTCTTACTCATTTCTTTCCAACCTCCGCTTCCTTCTTCTAACGTCACTCCACTGCTCTTTCGAAAATCCAAAATCGGAATTCCACTTTCACTATCCATTTTTTTTCTACTTTTTTTCTTTTGCACTCTATTTCTTATGTGGATTGTATTATTATCAACCAATGCTCAACTATATATATATAGTGACACAGTGACAATATATAACTTATTATTATTATTATTGTTATTATTATTATTATTGATCTCTTTTTTATTTAAATCCAAATGATTCATTGATTTTGTTTTACAGGGTAGTGATTAAAATATGATTCTTCCATTTCATAATGAACGTTAATTTGTTAAAAAAAAGTATGAAATTTAAATTTTCATTATAATATTATTAATACTTTTAATAATTGTACCATCAATTAATATTATATATATATATACATTATTTAGAATATGATACTGAATAATATATTTATTATAGTCAAAAATATATTCTTATTTAGGTAAAAATAATTTGGCCAAATTTTATTTTCTATTTTTCTTTTATTTACAGATATATCTTAATAGAGGTAAAATAGGAAAAAAATAAAACTAATTACAAAAAATGGAGTAATATCTAGAAAACAAATCAATAGTTTTTAACTACTCCCTATGTTGATAAGTATCTAATAGGTGTTTTCTAGACACTCTCAAATAATATTCTATTTTATTTTTTTATTAAAAAAACTAAAATGGAAAATAAATTTCTTTGACCAAAGATATTATATAACTAACCAATTTTAAATTTTCTAGATTACTATAATTTTAAATTTTATTTTTAAATTTTTTTCTTCTAAATTCATATCATCTAACTAATTTTATCAATCTTCTAAATTTTATTTTTTTCTAGATCTTCTAAGTTTTATTTGAAATTTTTTCTTCTAAATTTATTTATGCAACAAAAATACACGATAATAATATAGTTACTTTTTTTTATTATTAATAAAAAAATATAAACAAAGAGAATGGAGGTATGTACCTAACCCGTTAAAACTAATAAATACTATTATAAAAAACATTTTTCATATCAGTTAAAATATATTTTTACACAGGTTGAACTTCTAAGATAACATAGTAAGTGCATTATATTTTATAAATCGCCATTAACTAAAGTGAAAAATAACTTATTATTACTTTAATTAATATGTGAATCGAAAGAATAATTCACTTTTTACCTCAATCATCAAGTAATTGAGGAGATAAGTTTTATTTTTTATCGAATAGACTGATAATTGATAGAATAATTGACATTTCACCTCGAATAGATAGGTAATTGAGGGAATATGAGATACCTTTTCACATCGATTATAAAACTTAATCAATGTGAAATTCCTTATATTTTTACAATATAATTTTTTTACATATTTTTTTCCTATAAGTGGTATATTAAATCAAACTTAAATAAAACATAAAAAAAACATTGTCAAAACAGAAAACTATATATATTTACACCCAATACATAAATAGCTACACGATCAAACCAAAAATTATATATATTTGCGTCAAATACATAAGATACAATGCATAATCATGCATATTTGTTTTTTTATAACAAAACTAAAATATATGAAATGGTTCAAATTCAACTGTCCATAATTGAAGTGATTTCATAAAACTTAAGAAAACAAGTTGTCCAATGTAGACAAACATCATATAAGTCTTATTCTAGGACTGAGGTCTGTTCATTAAATACCTATAAATTAAACGATATGTAAAAATATTTAGAATAATAACAAACTATTATTTAGTAAAAATAATTAATATCTAGTTGTAAAGGTATTACATGTGTTGCGGTGAGAATCAGATATCAAGTTATTAATTAATTTGAATCACAAATTATTGAAATTCACCATCGAGCTTTGATTTATTAAAAGGAAATGGTAAAGATCGAAGAAAATCCTGAGTGCGCTACGTAACAACGAAGCTAAGAGATTGTGGGGTTCGGAGGTTGGTTATATCTAGTGAAGCTATTAGCATCCTAAGTATCTGCAGTACTCTACAGGAACCTCTTGTTGGTATTTGTGTTTATTGCTAACGTTTGCTTGCTAATGGTTTATATGCTAAGGTAAAGGTGATAAAGGTAAAGACCTATGAGTATATACCTAAGTATGATCGCCAAGACGTCGCATCTCGTGCCTACGTATCCTAACAAGGATGGAATCAGAGCAATCGTAGTTCACCTAACTAGGGTGAAGAACTCTTGACTGTGGTCAAGGTTCCAAGGGAAATAATTATTCATAACAATGATACTTATATAGAGTTAACAAACTCTCTAAGTCTAAGGTGAAAGACCTAAATGAGAATTTACTTTAACAAAAGTTAAAGGGGGGGGGGGGGGGGGAAATGAGTACAAATAACAATGATACGCACATAGAGTTAACAAACTCTAGACCTAAAATCTAAGTTATAGGACTCATAATAAGGTATGCTAAGGTCTTGACTTAACAAAGCCAAAGGGATATAGGTTCTAACTTAAGACTGTGTTAAAGGACCTAATGACTCTAACAAGGTCAAGGAAGGTTAAAACTGAGATATCTATGACATTAAGTCAATAGAGAGACTTTCCTTTGAACTAAGGAACAAAAGGAAACTCTTTAGGATGAGAGTTAACAAGCTACATCACTTGGAGAAAACTTAACAAAGTCAAGAGGTATTAAAAACAAGGTGACATTTAAGTACACTTAAGCATATAAGTATGAAAACATATGATCATGGTAACAACCAAGAAGATAAGGGCAAGTATGTGACAACATCAAACAAAGATTTGATAAAATTGATAGATGACAAAGGTAACAACCAAACATTCATTTAGAGAAGTTTAGAATCAAATCAAATGGTTACAACCAAAGATAAATATAGATGTTACAACATCTAAATAATCATGAAACAAGGTTCTTACAAGACCAAACATCATAGATGACAATTTGAAGTACAAGCAATCATGCATAAGTCAAAACATTACTTATCATGGCAAAGTTCAAAACTCAAGATCAACATGCATAAATCATGACAATGTTTAAAGCATGGATACAAGCAAAATAAAGTAGAGGTAACAACTAAACATTCTTGAACAAGAGAGAGACATGTGTGACAACAACATGTAGGTAGAGATATAAGTATTCAAGGATAACATGTGAACATACAAATCAAGATTATATCACATAGGTCAAGTGGAAATAATCCTTGAAAACATCATGGATGTAAAATGAACATGTTTAAACAAGTAGGTAATAACCAACATGTAAATTAAAGTTCAATCATGGCTTTGAGGGAGGAGATAACATCACAAGGTTCTATCATACAAACATGTATCCTAAGATTACAATCTAAGGCACAAAAGCATTTAATAAACACTTCAACATGACATGACAAACATAAACCATATGCATACATCAAAGTTTACAAAAACATGGAGGAAGATTACATGTTAAGAGCAAGGTAACAACCAAAGATTTAATGGCATAATAAAGAGAAAATTTCAACATACATTTATGTAAACATCATTCAAACAAGCATGAAATCAAGGTGAATCAAAGAGATACAATGTTACAATGTCATACAAGGTTTACACAAGATGAAAAAAGGTTTAAACCAAATAAACATGCAAGGAAACCATAGGGAAAGATCAAAGAAAACAACCAAGTTCTCAAAAGAAACCCTAAAAAGTATCAAACTTTGATCACACACAAAGGTAAGAAAAATAAATCTTTTTGAATATTACTTGACATAAATGAAAAATAGACATCATCATGAATACAATACAAAAAGAATAGGGTCAAAAGATAAAAAAAAACAAAGGAGTTGTGATTATTTGAAATTACTTAAGAAACCATAAAAAACCAAGTATTAAAAAAATAAGGGAAATGCACACCAGAAGGTTTGAACCCACGCCATGGAGGTTACAACCTAAAACCAAGGCCAAATGAACTGCATGCGTGTTCTGAATAAGAGAGGCAAACATGTAATAATATATCAAGCAAAATGAATAAATCAGAAGAAAAAAAAGCAAAAGGGTTGATCAGGATCGAACCCAGGCAAGGCAAGGCAATGGGAAAGGTAAGGCAAGGTTTCTACCACTGGGGTGACTGTTACATTCAGTTATAATACACTTTTATTTGTTTATATTTTAAAACAACATCAAATGGCCAAATTAGCGTCCATTCAGTGCCATGTCATACTGACTGAGTTTCCACTCATCTCCTTCTTCTTCCTCGCTCCCTCTCTTTTCTTCGTGCCCTAACTTCACTAGACCAAATTTTCTTCTTCCTCTAACTCTCTCAAATCTCAACCATTTTTAATTTTGTAAAAAACAAAGTTGAAACATTTTTCACAAGGAACAATAATATGACATCATCTCATCCTAAAAATAACTAAGTAAACCAAGAATTACTCAACAACAGTGCAACATCATAAAGGTTCAACATGTTACAACATGAAATATGTAACTCAAATAACACAACCAATGGTTCATGCATACAACACATAACAATGATATTTGTGATGATGATATTTGTATGGTTCAAGGGATTCAGTACAAGGCAGTTGAACTTTGAGCATGCTTCTGAACATTAACTTGTACTTGTGAGGCTGAGGGTGTAACACCCCATTTAAATTATTCAGTCGCTTTGGTATTTTCTGTGATGTGTAGTTGTGTGGTGTCCTTAATTAAGGGTATGAGGTTAGGAGTAAGGGAGAGAGGTGACCTTAGTTGGGGTACTGTGGACCTAGATAAATGAGTAAGTTAATTATGATATCGAGAGCATTATAGTGATTAATATTATTCCAACTATTATTAATAATAATGTTAATGAGATTATTATTATTATTATTATTATTATTATTATTATTATTATTATTCGTATTAATAATATTATTTGGTGGAATATTATTATTATTCATATTATTACTATTAGTATGAATATTATTATTAGTGGGAGAATAATAATAATATTATTATTATTATTATTATTATAGGATTTAAATAATAAAATAAGAAATAAGGGATTAAAGGAAATAGAGAAGTTTTTTTTGGAGAAAGAGAATTAGAACACGATAAACTGTCAGAGAAAGGT